CCCCCCTCTCCCCCCTCCCCACCATTGTGTGAGGTGAGGCTCCTAAAGGTCACTTACCAGTTTAGCTGTCTCCTCACACAGTATAGGAAGCCTGGGAGGGAGGGGGGGTACATTTAAATACAATTAATCTAAATGATTATAATTGTGGCATTACATTGCTGATTATTTACATTACTTGAAAGTTGCAAGACATGTAATAAATCGATAGCGATCCCCTTTTGTACAATTGTATATTATATAGATAGAAATGTAAGATAACGATACATTGTATGAAAATATATATACTAATGATAGTTACAGCCTTGTAGCCCTTGTACACTAACAGTATACAGGCTGTATACTACAGGAGACCAATGTACTGTTTTATGTTACTTGTAGCCCTTGTACATTAACAGTATACAGGCTGTATACTACAGGAGACCAATGTACTGGTTTATGTTACTTGTAGCCCTTGTACTGTGACTAACAGTATACAGGCTATATACTACAGGAGACCAATGTACTGTTTTATGTTACTTGCACTAAACTTACTTCAGGTCTGTTGATTTATATGAATTTCTTTTAAAAAAGAATATGAGACATAATTCTCTTTCCCAATTTCTTTGAATCCCTTAAGAGAATCCCTATATGAAATATCTATTTAATAAAACCAATGTATGATGACCCAACTGACTGCTATTGGTGAGTTAGTATTAGGATATCACTGACCAAGGCCCTGCTGTTAAAGCCTAGTCAGCTTTACATGATATAAATTTTACGTAAAACAATAGTTTGGCTCAAAAACATTGAAATAGAAAACTAAAACTACATGTGTACTATTTTACAGAGATTCAAAATGATTGCCAAAAGATAAAAACAAAAATATTCTGAAAAATCTCATTTTAAACATTTATGTTAACTTCTTCCTCTTGTCGAGCTGAGCAGACTTTCAGTTAACTCAGGGCACAGGTAAATAACACCTGTGATTTGAGGTACTTTGAGCTAAAGACTTGTGGGCTTAATTTGTCATAAATTATAAATGACCAGGTAATGCTCAAATAACAAACTGAGGTGCCCCAGGGAGTTGCCCAGCCCATTTAACCTTCGAGCCTAAGGCAGTTTGACCTGAGCTAGCTGCTGCTGTGATTCCCCCTCTCCAGGATATAGTCCTCCTTCATCTGTTGTACCTGGTCAGGTAGATAATGACAACAGGTAGTTGATAATCATAGGCAGTGAACCAGGACTAATCAAGTAACATTCGAACAGCTTGGTTGTGTAACTTGAATTGGTTTATAATATGTGGATTGATAATAATTATCCAATTTTCACTGAGATTTTAATCTTGGTAGTAAAAGTAAAAAAAAAAATACATTTCGGTTTAAGTTTTGAACCTGAAAC